CCTTTTTTACTTACTTTTCCATAAAGTGTTCATAATCGTATCCAGGCGATGGTTGACTCGGAGAAAGGCAGTAGTCATGCCTCAAGTGCTTCACAAATATCGGTTTTGAAGGATATGGACCTAGTGAGTAGATAGACAAGCTTCTAGTTCTTGTTTTCCTTTTTGGACTTCTTCCGTTATTGTTTCTTACAAATCAACGCGTAGGTGAACTGGTTGGAAAAGAAGTTGAACGATGCCGGAGTGTGGTCCGGACGTATGACCGCTTCAATGCTGTCCAGAGAGATGGTTGAGGAGTTGGAGACATGTTTCCAGGTAACCTCTGCTTTGCATTCTTGCTCATTTATGCTTCATGTTCAATTCAGGCGATTGATGTACAAACGAAACTGAAAATTATATGCTGCATACCTCACATGAACCCGCGCAAGCTGAGCACCGTAAGCTTGTTATTGTGTGCCGTACGATTTTTATCTCCATCAAAAATTTTGAGATTCATAATGCTCTCACAACACTTCTTGATCTAGCCAGTAAAGATGCTGATGACTGGGTTGAAACTATAGCAGATATGTACAGGTGAGGTTTCTGCTTCTCGTGTTTGTTTCTAGCATTTAAGATCTAAGATTTGAGGGACATAACTTCTACTGGAGTCATAATACCAGTTTCTTCCAATAAAGACTCCCATTTCGCCAAAACCTTGGATGATTTGACCAAATGCTGTACGTTGTATTATCTTTCATGGTTATTAATGCTTGTTAACTTCGTTTATTTAGTTCAAAGGCATTCAGAAGCTGGTAACCTCAAACTTTCTCCTGAGGGCCACAATGTAGCACATGCTTCAGTCAATAAGGTAAGATTTATGATTTTTCGATGCAAATTTGGCAGATGATGAGCTGAATTCTCTGTTCAGGCCAGCTTTGGAGCTGCTCCAGAACTTGAGAAATGTTTTATACTTCGAAAGAAGCCAAAATCCTTCAATCTTTCTAATGAAATGACAAAGCGTGAGTTCTATCTTTGTATTCACCTTGTACGCGGTTATATTTTTGCCACTTCGTATGTCTTTATTTCTATATTGTTTTGCACTTTATTTTTGGACAAAAAATTCTTTGCCGCTGGTGGTGGTAAAAATCCGAGGCTTGCGTAGTTTCCGTGTGCCGCACCGTTCCACCACTGTTAAACATCTTTACGGTGAATTTTCTCCATGTTTGTGTCGCACACAGCAGCCATAAATTGTGTCCTCATTTGTTTGGTAACTACAGACTGCTTTGGTTCCATAGTCAAACAGCGTCTTCATTATTCTATTAAATTGACCGATAAGTGTTGCCAATATTCGTGAAAATTGTAAAGTGAATCTGTTCAACCACATAGAGAGAATTGAACATGCGCTTTTGATGTGAATAAACTGGAGTATTTGGTATATCACGACACCAGCTGATAGAGGGAGCAGTCAAGTCGTATACTTTTTTTGCACTGGGTCCAGTGATTTTGTTTTTGGC